TTGCGGTGGATGGTACATCCCAGAGTTTGGCAGAGATACTGAGAAGCTGGGATCTCAGGTTTGATAGGGCTGTGAACAGGTGAGCAAATGCTCTCATGACTGCGAGGCCTAAGCAAGCACCTGTGCAGCCATGACATGGGTGGTGGACTTGATGGTTCTCCACTGTCCCTGGCAGAAGCCAAAGTTTGGTCCTAGGATGCCTGTGCTATAATTGGCATTACCACAGTGATGCACCAGCCTGGCAGCATGGCTGTGAGTCAGGGTGTGAGCAGATTTGTGGGGAAAGGGGGAGGTGGGCTGTGTCTGGTTTAGGGCCTGAGCTGGTACTGGGCTGCCTATGGGACACGGTGGGCTGGGTCTGGCACAGAGCATGGACAGGCTTGTGCCAGGCCCAGGGATGCGCAGTCCCTCCTGACCCACTTTGTACCCCACTTAGCCTTTGTAGTTTTATAAATGGCACAGAGCAGAGGCTGCCTCCCACGACAAAGCTAATGATGTCTCCTGAGCCCAGGGAGTTCGTCATCTTTCTTCCCCTTATGCCACGAGCTGTTCTCATCTCTGGGAACAGCACTGGCAAGCATGGAAAGCAGAAAGACGGTGTCACTTTGTCCCTGTCTCTGGTGACGGGCATCAGCGTTGCCCCTTTATACTCGGAGCCCTGCACCCCTTCGTACCAGCAGTCTGCTGCGTGGCCCTCACCTGTGGCCAGGGCCTGGTCGGACTGCTAGGAGCCTCGCAAAGGAAGCAGCTTGGGCAGATGGGCAGCATCAAGTGAGGAGAAGGCTTTTCTTCTTGCCACGCCTGTTTCCAGGGCCTGCAGGTATACAGTGCCAGGGTGAGCGCTTCCCATCAGAGCAGTTGCCCCAGGGCTGAGAGAGGTGCAGGGTTGGGACAAGAGGAGTGGATTACTGCTATGCCTGCCTTGTCCTCGTCACTGTTTGAAGCTCAGCATTGCTGCGGCCAACCCAAGCAGTGGCCGTGGTGGGGCTAGGGCCAAGGCCAGGCTCCTTCCTAGGGCACCAGAGGGGGGCCCTGGTTGCCTCTTCTCCTTCCATGGAGGTCTGGAGGGGTCTGCAGGCACAGGTAGGAAGGTGTCTTAAATTCACATTTCCTAATGTCTGCCTTGCTCTGTTTATTGCAACCAGAGAAAGAATTGATCTGCCCGCCAGAGGCCTTCAGTAACCCCGGAGTGGTGGGGGGCAGTCTGCTCTGAACATGACATTGCCAGGGTGGCAGGAGCATGGGGAGTGTCAGCAAGCCTGTGCTAGGGGAATGTGACATGTCCTTCTGTGTGAAGTTGGGGCCCACTTGGTGCATGGGGGAGGTGGAGCCGGGGATGATGCCTCTCCATGCTTGCCTGTTGGGACGCTCAGCTCTCAAAGGGCTGCCATGGCGCACTTCGCTGGTACCATCCTGACACAGGAGGCAGGAAGACCTTGAGGTTGTGTGAGCCCTTTTCCTTCAACCTTTCCATTCCCCTAGCCACATGTGTCATGTGAAGGCCTTGTGATGCAGGTGACACATGGCAGGTGTCTGCCTTGCCCCGTGACACAACCTTCCTAAGCATCTGAGCTCAGCTTCCAGCACCTGCAAGTTACGGTGTGGGCTGGTGCTTGTGCTCTTCCGTGATGCTGTCATGCCACTGCTTTGTGCCCCACTGACACTCTGAGGTGGCCTCGAGCTGCTGGGATGTAGCTGTTCCCTTGAGCTGAGATGCTGTGAGGGACTGAAGGGAGAGAAGCCATGGGGGGAAAAACCAGCGGCACCTCCCTGTGGGCTCAGGAAGACAAGGGGAGGGCATGAGTGTGTGTCGTGAAGCCTTGGTAGGGCTGAGCAGCTACATAAGAAAGGTCTTCACCTAGGTTCCCCTCCCCGGGGCCCACCCCCAGCATCCAGCACTGGTGCCCAGCGGCTCTAGAGCTGGTGTGTCCCCTCCATCTGCAGGGCTGTGTTTTCCTCTTCTCATCAATCCGCTGTGGTTGGACCTGAGCATGCCCCTCAGCCAGAATGCTCCATCAATGCTTCTCTTCCCTCCATCCCACCTGGCTCAATCCCCTCCCAGGGGCTGTCAGGCCCCCAGTGTTGTAGGCGCACAAGAACAGCAGCGAGATGCGTGCCCAGTCTGGCAGTGGGTGGTGGGGGGGCACTTTTATTTTTTTCTTAGAACTGGAGAAAAATTTACAAATAACACTGACCCAGGCTTTGCAGGGCGTCTGGCATCAACCACCCATTGTCTGCACACCTGCCATACCCCCCTGTCCCTCTCCCCACCATTGCCACTGAGTCACATGTGTCCATCTACTGTCTGCCCCTCTCCAGTCCTTGCTCGCTCAACCCGTCACAGCCTGCAGCCTTCCTCATTCTCTGGGGCATAGTACCTGCATTATTATGATTTCAGGGGGGTCCAGAGTCTCAAAGAAACTGAGGCTAGAGTGAAGATGTGAGGGAGCCTTGCCCTTTTTGGGCACTGGTTCAATGCCTTCCCTGCATGGGAGCAACTGAAATTCATTGCCATCAGATCTCTGTATGGGGGAGAAGGCAGGGTGAAATGAGTCGATGGCTTCATTCCAGCTCCTCTGGGGATGGATGGATGGATAGGTAGCTGCTTGCAAGATACCCCTGAAAATACAAGTTCTCATGGAAGACCTAGTGCCATGAGGGTAGGAGATGGAGAGGGTGACCAGCCTGCCCAGGCTTGGCTTGGCCTGTGTGTGCTGCCCTGTCTAGGAAGACCACACTGATGCTCTGTCATGGGTACCACTCACTAGGCAAGAAAGGGCCAGGAAGCCAATACTGTACAGCCCAGTCCAAGAACAGCTGGCCCAGCCCATGGCATTAGCAAGAACCCAGTTGCTCAGGAGAAGCTTGGCCAAGGAGGACAATGCATAGTGTAAGGCATTCACACGATGCTGTAGGTGGTTGGTGGTTTGCATTGAATTCTAGCTCATCAGAGCCCTGCCGCCAGGCAGCACTTATTGAAGAGCAGGCAGCAGAGCTGGCAGGTGTTTCAGCTTATGCACGGTCCTAAAGGGCTGAGCACTGCTGCCAAATCAGCAGTGGAGATGGGGAGAAAGCAAGCCAGGACCCAGGCCTTTCCTTTTCTTTTCCCCTCTCTAATGCTAATTCACTGCTTCCTCACTGTTCTCTGAGGAGGGCGGGCTGGGGGGAGGTGAGGTGGGTAAGAGGTAACTCATTGTTGACTGTGTACATTACAGAGCTTCTGCTAGGAGCTGAGCCACAGAAACCACTTATGAGGTGACTGCTGCTTCGAGCTAGAGGACTGACCCCTTAGCTCAAGCAGTAATAGCTCATGGTTTTAATGGTGATGCCCAAGTTCTCATGGGGTAAGGGCTCCTGAATCAACCCCACAACTCATATGTGTGGCTTGGAGCTGCTGTTGGCCAATCTTTCTGCCGTGTCTGTACAAAGAGCACATGTCAAGTGATGGCGGAGTAGATACCATTCTCTTCAGCATACCTTGTCCACACATGGGAACACACATTACCCCAGTACAAATAAAACTCTGTTGAACAGGAGTGGGGTTAAGGAAAGGCGACTAAAATCAATGTGTGCAGGAAACAAATGATCAATGCAACAAAAAGTCCCAGACTCTTGAAAGGGATGAGGGAAGCAGTTTCCAAGTGCCTAATTCCTCACTTGGCAGAGATTCTTGGGTGGGTGAGTCAGTGTCAGTGTAGCCCCCTTCTGTCTCTCCACAAGGCAGGAGAAAGCTTAGAGTAGGTTTGCTCTGCTTCTCCCCTGCAACAGCAGCATAAGACAGTAATTCCTGGCCTCAGGGGGCACAACCCCTCAAGGGCCAGGCTGAGTGCTACATGAGAGCCTCCATGTTGTCCTGGCAGGCACTTCCTTACTCAGGAGTTTTCTAAGAAGAGCCAGCCTGTTGATACCTCAAGTACCTCCACACAGGGTGATGGAGAGATCCAGGGGGAAGACGCAGGGAGTAGTAAGAATAGCAGAAGAGTGGGGAGAAGCAGCCTTGAGATGAACAAGAGTGAGGCTCAGAGAGCCCTGCTGGATGGGCTGGGCTGAGTGGTGGCCACTTTCTGGCAGCATAGGACTGATTCCAGGTAGATGGTGGTCCCTGTCTGCCACTGTTCCATGTGCAACCGGCTTCCCAATTGTGTAGTAAAGCCAGCCCTCCACAACAGTACCAACTAAAGCAGCCAAAGCCCCAACTGCCACTTTGACATGGCACTGCTGGGGCTTGATGAGCAGTGCCATGCCCTTTTCTGGGGTTTCCTCTGGAAATGGGGAGCCACGTGGATGGCAGGAGAGGTGCACGAGAGCAAAACTTCAGCTCCTGAGTGTCACGTCAGTGTCCTGCAGAGGCAGGGCCCCACAAGAAGCAGCATGTAGTGAAGAAGAAAGAACATGAAACTGCAGCTTCTCAGGAACAAGAAGTGGCTGAGGGTGAGGAGCAAGCCTGATGAGTAATCGCATTCAGCATAGCATAGGTGGGTTGGGGGCAGCACATGTCCTACAGTGCACCCCTAGCTCCACAGGAAAGCCAGAGTATGACCCACAGGGCTGGGACCTGGTGGGAGATTGCTTCAGGGCCTGGCGCTACAGGTAGCTGGAGACAGAAAGGGTCCACAGAAAGTGTGACAGAGGGGAGATACACAACTTTTGCATCCTTTACACTGTGACATCTTGACGGTTCTGCTGGATTTGCAAAGCCAGTGATCATGAAATTATTATGCCTTATCAAGACAGCCTCTCACAGGAACTTAAAACTGATCACCATCACCTCTCTAAGCCAGTGGTCACTGTTTACACAGGTGGTACTATGCCTTGCTTTGTTCCATACTTCAAGAATAGTTTCTTCCCCAACCGTTAAAACCACACCTAGGATCCAAGGGTGCAGGATGCAAAAGAAGATACAGATTCAGTTACGCTATTATTAGAAACATTCAAAAATGGGAGGGGAAAAAAAGCCCCCAAACCCAGTACAGGCTGTTTGCTAGAGGAATAAAGGGCTCAGCAGGAGGTAAAGGGAGACGTCTAAAATTCATCTCAAGCCCTTGACAGCTGCTTGTTTGTACAGTTATTTATACTTTCGGTACTTGTGATTCTGTCGCCTGGTTTAAAAATGACATCAAGAGGAAGAGGGAGGGAACAGGGTAAGTAGGCAAACACCAAGGGACTTACTGGTTGTTGTTCGCTCCCATCTTCTAAGAGTTGTCGTTCCCCTAAGAGGTCTGTGCCTCCCTCTAGCAATGGTACAATGTGATTCCACGGAGAACCGCACTGGAGTCTCCTTGGCTTCCCTCAACACTGACCAGTCTGCTACAGAAGTGAGATGATGGACAGGTGAACTGGAAAAAAGCCGTGCATCAATCACAGGACAGCATGCATGCCTGGTTCACCATGCACGTTAACCAAGTACTCTGGGGGGGAGGGGGAGTGCGTGGTGTGTCGGTTCTGGTGGGTCCTCCCACAACCCTTCTCTTGTCTCCTGCCACACAACCTAGCAATGCCAGCTGTGATAGGCAAGCAGCTCTGGTACCTTGCAATCAGGTGTTCTCGACTGGCTAACTGCCAGCCCCAGAGGCTGCAGGGATATTAAAAAAAAAAAAGAGAAGATGAAGGTCCTTTTTAGACGGTGACCTCAGTCTTGCTATTGGTGGAGAAGTGCCGCTGGGGAGGGACATAGTGGGACGGCGTCTGGCTGAAGACCTCAGGCAGCTTCTCAATACTGAACTGGCGCTTGGTGGCATAGACCTGTCGGCGGATGTCAGGGTGGTGATGGTGGTGGCTAGGGTCCCAGCCTCCCTTGAAGCCAGGGCTGGCTGCCAGGGTGTGCGCGTTGGTTTTCACCACTTTTGCCTTCTGCCCAGGTGTGGCCAAGCCGACCAGGGGGTAGCCATCCTGCAGGGTAGTTGTGTCTTTCTGATGCAGCCCCATGGGTGGGAAGGACAGCGTGCCTGGTGGTGGCATGTCTACGGCAGGAAACCGCTTGTAGAATTCCTCTGGTGCGCTTTCTGCAAAAGAGCAAAAAGATCAGATAAAATGGAGGACACCCAACCCCTTCCTGGACCGAAACGTTCTGATAGGCACGAAGGTAGCCCCTCTGTCCGCTGGGATGACTTCTCCCCCTCCCCACCGTCTGACATCCTTGGTGGCAGCTCTCCATGAGACAAGACCATGAGGCAAACCAGGGCCCGGTGGGCCAAGGGGGATGACCTTGGCAGGCTGGGTGCATCCCGGAGGCTGACTGCCTGGAAAAACAGCGTGTCGGAAACATGCAAAACTCCCAGCTTGTGATTGGCTCATATGAACATTCCGGAACCTTGTTAGGTTCCTGCCTGTTGATAGGTTCAGAGGAGGCTTTGGAATGGTGGGGAATTTTGGATGCTGATTGGGTGGTGACCACATGACCTCTCTCCAAGTCATTCCCTGTTCCATGAAAGCAGCAGCTTTCCCTCCTCAAACCGCCCCTGCCCTTTGTCGTCCCGGTGGGACCCCGGGTGCAGCGCTCCCCCAGTAATGTCAGGATTTGAAGTAAAATTCAGTCTGACTCCTGATCTCATGATAGAGCTCCCAAGTCTTGGGATCCTTTCTTCTGGCCCCAACCGAGCTGTGTCCAGCTGCAAAGTCCCTGAGAGCCCTGGTGGGGCCAAGCCGTGGGGGTGGCGTGGGGGTGCAGGGAGCTCTGCCAGGTCAGCACCGAGCCAAGGCCACAAGGGGTGGGGGGGCTGCTCAGGGCACATCTGCGATGAGTTGGAGGAAGGGGGTTAGAACGGAGCATCTTATGATTCACATACCAAATCTCTTGGTTTTTTAAGAGTTTGTCTCTTGATTTGTGACACGGTGGGGTTGGCAATAATGCTCCCTGCAAACCTGTGCTAAGCTTTGCCTGAGCCCAGCTACACTTGCACCTCCTCCCACAAAAGTGTGCGTAAGAGCCATAGCTGGAGGCTGCATTGTTCTCCGTCCTGTCACCAGTGCTGTCCCATTTCCTCCCCATCTCATCCCACTCCCACTGGCATTTGTGAAATCACAGTTGCTGCTGTCACTGGGGTGTGGGATGGCAGCAATATGGTGATGTCACCCGGCGAATTGGGTCAAAGAAAGGGGGAGGGAAAGCAGCACTCGAGGAAGCACAGTTGGGTGAAGCAGCTCCACCCTGGCTCCGGACTTGTGGGTGTGGCAGCACATACCTACAGCCTTGAGCGTGGCATACTTGGTGTAGTCTGGAGCCTGGAGGGGCATGGTGCTTGTCATCGGCAGGCGGTTGCTGTGGGAGTGTGGCAGGCCAATCTGGGGGACTATAGGGGTGCTGACCACAGCATTATTCAAGTGCATCTTATCTAGGAATGGAAAGAGAGATAGCAGAAGAGAGAGGCATAAGAGTCTTGTATCGGGTTTAAGGCTAGTCTGACATCCTGTGTAATACAGGCCATTACATTCACCCAGATGCTCCTAACTAAGCCAACATGCTTTAGTGGTCCAGAAACACATCTATGATATGAAGACTTTGAGAGATGGAGAATCCACCATTTCCCTTGGTAGTATGGTTCAATGGATATCATCATCCCTGTTAATGCCCTCTTTCTCATTTCGCTTTGTCTGGCTGCAGCTTCCCAACCTTGGTCCTCCTCATACCTTTCTCCACCAGATTCATAAGATCTTCAGTATCTGTTTTTCTTCTCGCTGTGGACTCATTTATATGCTGAGATCATGTTACCCCTCCCTCTTCTGTTTGACAGATTTAACAGATTGAGCTCTCTCTCTGTCTCTTTCTCTTTCTCCCTCTCTGAAAGGCATTTTCCCCAGTCCTCAAACCAGTTTTGTGGGTCTTTTTTGTACTTTCGATTTTCCAACATCCTTTAAAAATGTTGATGCCAGTACCAGACACTATGTCCTAGCATGATCACACAAAGGTTCAATGCAGAGGGAAAAATCACCTCCCTGATCCTCCTTCCTTATTTATACATTGCATTAGCCTTTCTTTCACAGCATCACACTAGAAGGTTGTGTTGAAACGCTTGTCTGCTACAACCCTAAATCCTCTCCAGACTCACTGCTTTCTAGGAGATATTCCTCCTCCCTCTGTAGGTATCACCAGTGTTCCTTGTTACTTGATAAATAACTTTGCTTGAGGCTGTATAAAATGTTTTTGAATTTTAATGAGATTGGGCCTTCTCAACCCCAACCATCAGTTCTGGGTAGTCCTTTCTGCCAAGACACCCCACATCTGAGCCTCTGCCTCCTGAGCCATCAGTGATCTGCTTTTATAGACAATATCATGTTTATATGCTTAATGAGACGGATGCCTCAGAGACTCAAACCCAGGCTCCAGAAGGTTTCGTGAATGGGGCTTTGGTTCTACCTTGGCTGCAAGTCATGAGAGACTGAAAGCCCTCCGTGACGGAGAGAGAACTGGCAGGCCCCATGAAAGGACTTCCAGTTCTCAGTCCAAGTAGGACGCAGTGTCCCAGTACTGTAGCGACGACGTTTGGTGGCCGGGGCAAAGCCTGCCCTCGCCCCACACACAGATCTTGGGGGCACATGCCCCCCATGCTTGCCCAGGACTGCACACAGTAGTGGGAGCTGCCCTCCCCCCGTCCCCATGCCACCCCAAACAAGCCACCTGTGGCTCTGTCCCAGGCCCTGCCCCGGCTAGCCATCACCTGTTGGCACTGCTTTGCTTTGGTGCCTGGGGCAGTCACCCTGCTTGCCCCCACCCTTGCTACAGTACTGCACTGTCCCTCTGGTGCTGACCAGGCACCAGAGCAGCGGGGACAAGGGCTGCACAGCCCTCAGGGAATGTATGTCATTCCTAGAATAGCACCAGGGCTGAAGCAGGCTGGTGGGCAGCATGTGAGGGAAGCTGGCACTGTGGCTGCCTGGTGCACATTTGTTCTCCAGGGCTCTCAGGCCAGCGTCATTCCCCAGCCCTGGCTCCAGAGCAGTGTGTTCACCCTCCTCCTTGAGCCTGGGACAAGTGTTGCTGGCAGATTGACAAGATCCTCCTCCCCACCCCCAGGCAACTCGGTGTTGAAATAAAAGGGCCAGTGGGTTAACAAGCAATTTCCCCGGGTCACACGGACCGGGAGCGCTGTGCCACTGGTGCCGCCTGGCCTCTCCATCCTCCTGCTGTCCAGATGGTTAACTGTAGAGATAAATCTGCTGCTCGGTGGCATGGAAGAGACACCTCCCATCTCTGCCTGGAGGCATGTTGCCTACGGGCACCTCCTAGGAGTCACTCAGGCTCCATGTATACTGCAGTCTCTTCAGTGTTTGCGCAGACAGCCAGGACTGGCTTTAAACTAGCTTGCTCAGGGAGTGGTAGCTGCCTAGCCATCACCTCATGGAGCACAGTGTGGGCAGCAAAACCCACCTGAGGCTCTACCCTTGTCTCCTGGCTTTGTTTTGCAGGCCGTACTGAGTTCTGCTTGGCCAAAGCCACACAGCTATTGATCCCTGGGCCAGCTGGGTTCAAGCTGTGTCCGGTGTGTCTATCCTACCCAGCAGGGACTGTTTTGCAGAAGGACATGAACCTCGCTACCAACCTCAACGCAGCACTGGGGCTTGCTCCAGTTTCTGGGAGGCAGCCTGACACAAGCACTCCTGCTCTTAAATGACAAGAGGGAGGGAGTGAGACCCTCCTACCCCTTCTCCTCAAGTGATGGGTCCTACCCTTCTTGCTGCCTGACTGTGGTGTCTTCCCACCCTCCCTCCTCCATGCTGTGTTAGCCCCTGTGTCAGCTGGCATGACTCTGGCAGCCTGTCCGAGCCGGATAACTGCCAGTGAGTTCTGACCTGTAAGCCATGCATAGATGCAGGCTGCTGCCAGCGCAAGTGTCACTTCCTATCCTTCAGAGAAGCAAGCAGGGGCCTGTCTGCCTGCAGGCCAAGGCATCTCCCCTGAGGCTGTTGCATGGACAGCAGGGAGCATCCTGGGGAAGGAGAAGGGGGCACACATGCCACCGAGGCAGTCATCCAAAGCTGCCAGCCTGTAGCAGAGGCAGGCCCAAACAGAGCAA